GGTAGGCGTCAGATTCACCTTATTAATTAATTGGTTCTCCCTTCAATTAATGTACGTTAACTATTCGAACAATTGCCTACGACAGTGTTCCTTGCGTTATGAAACTTTCGAGCCTAAGCATTTTGGGAAAATTAAAATGCTAGCATTGTTACTCAAATTCAAGAACAATTTATGACTTTTGATTGTAATTCTTTGCAGATTCCCATGTAGAATTGGTACATGTACCACACCTATTGATGTGTCACTGTCTTTATTATACGCGAATGGAATTATTCCTGGAGGTTTGGTAAGAGCCCTGCTTTACCCAGGAGCTGTAGCAAAGGCCATTTATAAGAACAGCCCCATCCCAAGCTATGACAACCTTCTAAAAGTGTACAAATTCACCAACATGAAGGAATCTCCTTTAACACATGACCTCCAAAACCTAGAGGTTGGTTATCAATTTATACTGCTTCTTTGGGCAAGGGTGGAGTTATTCCGGACAAGGGGTTTAATTGAATTTCTTTTACCGGAAAATTATACTGTACAAATAGTAAAAAAAAAGATAATATTTATTTTATTGTATATAAACTATTGAATGAATTACTGGCTCCGTCACTGCTTGGAGTTGTTCTTCTTTAATTGTTCTGCTTTATGATACTTGGTTTTGGATGTCACAGGTTATAGTAGGAAGTTATTTGTCAGTGGCAGGAGCATTTTTGGGTCTAATGAAATCAGGGAGATTCAGTCTTATTGGGATCCTTCTCATCACATGGGGTCTTGACAAGCAAGTCTTTTTAAGAAATTCCAATAGTGTAGTTATATACCCAACCATGATAATTGGTTTGCTTTCTGCCTTCTTTTCTATCAGAGCAGATGTCACAAAGCTGATCCGTTTCTCCAAACCTAAGGCCTCTCTTAGAAATGTACAAAAAGCAAAATATAACTAGAGTTAGATATGCTAGTTGATTTCATCACTTTCTTATTTACGTTGTCATATATTTAGGTTGCAATACTTATTTTTGTTCCCATGCTCTCAATTCCCCCCACCTGGCTTCCAAGAAATGAGATTGTGGGGTTTCAACTTTCAACATTATTGTAGGAGTGACATTGAACAGTTATTTCACAGTATGATAGAGAAACGTCAATTTTTTTCTTCTTTTATTTCTAATCGTCCATTTCCTTATCAGCATTATTGGAGCTTTGTCCAAAAACAGTATGAAATAGAACAGCTATACATCATACAGTTTTTTCTTTAAATAAATATATATTTGGAACATTTCTGACGCATCGTGCCATCATCCCAGCTTCATACATTTCTTCATACAATTATTACAGTATCTCAGCAATTTTAATGCTGACAAGTACCAAATGCTGAGTCAGTGGAACTTGTAACAGTCATTGATGTATTAAATTTCATACCTCGATCATGGTAACTAATACTATGTTTCTATAAGATTATGATTGCTCCTTTAGAAGTCTTATTGAGTCCTGTTTTTCCCTTTGCAAATAATCTTTAATTTTGCATTATAAACACCAGCAACTTATATGCAAAAGAAAGAGTGGTATTTTCAATAGAAAAACTAATTGTGGACCCTGCACGAATCATATGGGGGGGACCCAGCAAGACAAGCACCATCCGACACTAGGTAACAAGGAATTCTGTCTTTTTGTTAAGTATTTGGTTCCATGTTATAATTATTTGTTCAGCAAATAGGAAAGCGTGATAGAGAAAGATAAAACATAAAGAGATTCCTTTAGAACTTATACTCAGTGGAGTAATTGATTGGTGAATAGTTACTACCGGAGCCAACTCACTTGCATATATTTCCTTCCTACTAAGTATTCTTCTCAATTACAAAGAAAAGTAGTTGAGTTTTCGCTTCATACCAGGTTTTGCTTTTTCTGAATTTCTTTTCGGGAAAAGCTTGTTACGACTTGAAAAAGTTTCTGCCTTTTAGATTAGATTCCTTTCTCATAGTACAAGGAATCTTGAACTTAAAGTTCTATACCCTCCCCCTCCTTTCCTCCGCACCCCCAACTAGAGGAGTGTGCTACATCCATGGAAGCTGATATTCTCACAATCATCAGAAGATTTGCACTTGCCGAAGTGTTTTTATGCTTCTAATGGCTAGCCAGTGTAAATCTAGCTGATGTTGGGGTGTTTCTAAATTTGCTGCAGAAGTCTTCTTTTCCATCTTGAGGGTATAGGAAGATTTTCTGAGAAATCCAAGATTTCTTTTTCAGGTAAAAAATTGGTAATTTATTCATTGAAATTAGATCTAAGAGGACTACCCCTTCTGCAGTTTTGTTAAGTTGACATACATTTTGAACCAAAAAGAAAGATTCATTCTCTCAGGTTTAAAAGAGTTGGCCTGAACTTTGTCGAGAACAATGATGATGTCTTTAAACTCCTTGAATTATTCAACATGTACATTAGCTCGTATGAGCAGCCACCATACCCATAACAGAACAAGAAAAAGTTCAGTTCTGGCCACACCAGCTTCATCCATAATCTCACAAACTGAAGAAAGCAGCAATTTTGCCCACTCAATGGAGAATTCTTGTTTAGATACGGCTTCAAAGCGTCCTGATTCTGCTTTTCTGCTCACCCAAGAAAATGCAGTAGGGATCATTGGGGGGCTATCCACTGGAACCACTCTCAATTTTGTGAGGAAGCTTGTCACGTGGAGTTCCAAAGATGGAGGGAATGGCCTTCCCTTTGTTCTTTGTTCTGATCCAGTTCTTAACAAAGAGCTTTCATTCCACGAAAGGGGACCTAGTTCGTTTCTCGTTGGTAGAAATGAGAACTTACAAAAGGATCATGCTTCAATTGTTGAAAATCTAAGGCATAAAAGGATCTTTCTTGAGAAATCTGGCGCTCGATGCATTGTCATGCCTTGTCACATATCACATTATTGGCATGATGAGGTGACAAAAGGTTCTTCAGTTCCTGTCCTTCATATGGGCGAGTGTGTGGCCAAGGAGCTCAAAGAATTGAATTTGCGACCACTAGAAGCCGGGAGTACTCTGCGAATTGGAGTTCTAGCTTCTGATGCAACTTTGAGTGCTGGAGTTTATCAGGAGAAGCTTCAAAATGAGGTATTGATAGTGGTTCTTGGAACTATTTATGTCATACTTTTATGTGATTGTTTCAACTATCTGTATATGTGTCTCTAGTTTCAGTATGTGACTAGTGTAAGAAACAACCCACTTTCCTATAGTCTGTGTTACCAATCATTATTTATCCTGTTGTAACAACCTTTTAACTAGCGAATTTGTGGTGCTTCGAGAACTTATGTTGGATAATTTGGACTTTGGGGGTATGTTTTTGGATAAGTTGTTTGTCAGTCTTGTGCTTTGAGTGCCATGAGATAGGAAATATCCATTTAGCATCCGCTCTTATCTATCCGGCTGTTCTGCGATATATTAATCTCACTGGTCAAGATGAGATTATTGTGATCCTTCTTTGTCAAAAAGACCACCAGTTTACAATGAAATTATTCAGCTCAGCATCTTTTACCTTTCCGGCATGTAGTCTTCTGCTCCTCTTCTGGCTATAGTGTAGTGGATACCAATATTTCAGCACTTTTGTTTCATTTAACCTTTCTGGCATGTCGTCTTATGAACCTCTTTATGCAATAGTGTATAGGATACCAATATTTCAGCAGTTTCGTTCCATTTATTTTCCTACAGTGCTATATAGAGCATTGATTTTGCAAGTTTATAGGTATGCATATACTGACAATTTCCGAGTCCCTCAGTTTGTAGACTGCTGACCCTGCATGATTCCAAGTATGTTTAGTGTCATTCAGAAAACAGAACCTAGTAAAAGTTATTTTTCAGTGACCAACCCGCTCCCCTTTTTTCCCTTCAAGTAATCAAAGAAGCAATTGCAGAGAAGAACCTTTCCCTGTCTTCTTGTATTCTTTCTTACTGCTGCTTCTGTTCCATTTTCCAACTTTTCTCCATGGGGTGGCATAGGAGGACCTAGCTAGTTTGCAGTTTAGATAATACCAAAGTAATATGGAAGTATTTTTCTTAAAAAATAGCTTAAGAACAAACGGAAAAACATGGAGGTTTCATCTTTGCCATAAAAGTCTTCGATACGATAGTGAAGAAGATGTGTTTCTTCAGCCTGATTTGATATGCATTGTCAGGCAATACAAGTACAATAAGTAACATTAAATTGGGAATGGAACATTAGAGTCGTGGAAATGTGTTGGTTAAGCAAGATTCTATGTATTGTTGCTATGAACTGAATACTTTTTCGAGGCATGCCTCAAAGACAAAAGGAAAGCACACTGTTTTAGGTATCACAATGAAAGATGCGGGGGTAGGTAGGTTTTTGGAAGACAGTGCTTTAATCTCCTTATCATTTGTCTAACTATGAAGCTTTTAAGTGTTGGATATGTGCACTTGCCAGACAATGCTGTATTTAAGTGATTTGATTTATTATTTCGAGTTATCCCTGATTATCAATTTTTGATGCCTCTCTTACTGAGTGTAGGGTTTTGAAGTTGTGCTACCAGATAAGGCGACCATGGAACACACCGTAATCCCTGCAGTGGAAGCCTTAAACAGGAAGGACATTGAAGGGGCACAGAATTTGTTAAGAATCTCGCTACAAGTTCTTCTTGTGAGGGCAGTTAACACTATAATAATTGCCTCGGATGACATGCGTGACCTGTTACCTCCAGACGATCCTCTTTTAAAGAAATGTGTCGACCCAATGGATGCCTTGGCTAGGTCAACCGTGGAATTTGCAAAATCAGTTGAAAGGAATACATAAAGACACCAAAACATATTTACGGTTTAAATTATATAAGGGTGCAAATATAGCGTGTAGTGATCAAATCATGGTAGCATTTTGTAATTCTTTAGTAATTTGGTTTATCCTGTTCTGATTAGTGAAAGTAATGCATTCACTTCACAATACGATAACAAAGCCATATTTCTTCGAACTAAAAACTTAAGTGCTTATACATCAAACAAACAGAATCTTAAAACTAAAGGAGTTACCAAAACTATCCCCTGCTTACACAAATGGTCACCTACTAAACACCAGTTCATGTTCTTCAGTTCTCCACTGCACGTGAGTGATAACAGGACAAGCTGCAGCCTTTCAGTCCAGTCAGCATAATTCATGAATATGTTTATATTTTTTGATAAATCTACAGTATTAGATTTGATAATTCAGTTTGTACTACTAATATCTGATATCAAATTAAAAGTTTTCTGCAACTCTCACACAAGAAAACTGCTGGTACCTCCTCATGATCATCAATGCCAGAGCACATTGTGTGAAACCAAACTTGGCAAGCATCACAATTTACCATTCTCTCCCCATCATCATCCCTGGCCCCACAAATGCAATCCACCTTTAACTTTATGGGCCCACCTTCATACCTCAATTCAGTATCCAAGTCCAGCCCACGCCCTCTCACCCAAACGTGTGCATCTCTGCCCACTGCGCAAGATAGCATCCTTTTATCCTCTATTCCCTTCAAACCACCAATTTGTGTTACTACAAAGTTTTGCATTATGCAATAAGTATCCCTTAATGCAAATTGTGCCACCCCCTTAAGCTCACGTATTGTAATCCAAGGGGGAACATAAACAACAACACCAGGTGACAATGGCCGTGTCAACTCACTCTCTAACTCGTCGAAACTCGGCAAGACTTTACATGTTAATGCCATTATTTGGCTTTCTTGATTCTCAAGCTTCCACTTTTTAACAAATTTCTTGCTGTCCAAGACAACCCGAGTAGCCAAACTCACCGAGTCAGACCCTGGGTAACTCAAAAGCACTGTTTCATACAAGTACTCAAGATCTTGATCAATATTGAAGTCTAACTCAATGTTGTCAACTCTGCTTGCATCAACAATATCTTCAAATGCAAATTCAATCCTTTTAGTAGACGGGTTTTTTGATCGAAAAATGATCTTGTTTCCCAGCATGGATTTGTTTAAGGATTTCAGCACGTAATCAATCAACCCGGTGTCACGAATAGTTGTCCTAGCCTTGTCACGTAGCTCCTGCCTAGACATTGCACCATCACCATTGTGTGCTCTCAAGATTTTCAAAATAAACTCTGCAGCTTTTTTCACCTTTCTCTCAGTCCACCTGCAACCAGAATCCATGTCCAAAAATGGAAACCTTACTGATTCTGCTTCCTTAGTAGCAGCTTCATGGATAGTGAATTCTAATAACTTAGTATTTGGGTTAATGGACCGACGAATAATTTGGTTTCCCAATTGAAAACATCTGATAGATTTCAGCACAAAATCAATCAAACCAGTGTCACCAATGCATTTTCTTGCCTCATCTCTCAAGTCCTGCCTTGTCATCCCATAATTTCTGTTCACATTTTCTTGATTTTCTTTCAGCAAATTCACAATCACTATTAGCACAAATTCTAGCCGTCTAGCAGGCCATCTACAATCATTGTTAGCCATCAAATTCACAAATGTATCCATACTAATTGGCCTATTTTTCTCTCCTATATCAGGATCACACCAGCAATCATCACTATTTTCAAGCTTCATCTTGCTATGAAACGGAGCTTTAGACTTAAAAGCAAGCATGAATTGGAACAAGTCACTGATTGTGATCAATGGGACTTCACTCAATTCTCTGTGGGTACCAATAATCTGCTTGATTTTCATTCTTTTCGGAATATCCTTTTTGAAATCATTCAAAATCTTGTCAAGTCCTAATGAGCTTAGGAATTGAACAGCAATTTCATATTTCTGCTCAGTCACTCCATAGCTTCCACGGCCAAATCTGTAATCCCATTTTCCAAACCAAGATTGTCCATAAGCAACACCATGAAGCAACCTCAAATCCATACCTCTCTTCTTTGACACATCATTCACCGAAATTTTCCTGCCAAAATGATAATCATAACAATAACATAAATGATTCTTCAATTTCAGCTAAAATGTTCCATACGCTAAGGAAAACACATACAAATAATACTACTTCCTCTTTTCAGAAAGTTTTGATGATTTAGCTTTATTACTTAGATCACGAAACTCTTATATTAGGACGAAAAATTTCTCACATAAAAACTATGAAAACAGATTAAGATTTATCAGTATGAACTTCATTACCTGGTTTTGAAGATTGTACAAAGACGATCCCAGAAATCCATGAAATCAGTTCCAGAGAGCAAATTTGAATCCCCATTGACAACGCCATTATTAATGGACAACAAATGGCCATAACCATTGCAATGAATCAAACCATGCAAAACATGAGTACCGATTTCAAATGAATCGCTTCCCAATGGCTTTTCCCATTTCTCATTTGCCGGTATTATCAAATGGTACCTTCTTTTCGACACATAATGGTGACCCCATCCTTCAACAACCCAAAAAAAAAAAAATACAATCAGCAATAATAATAAACAAAAAAACTACAAACAAAATTCAAAATCAATTTGCAGAATGAAAATTGAGTGTTCATATTATTTTACCAGAGAATTTGCAGTGATCACAGAAAGGTTGAAGAGAGAGTTGAGTGGTTTCTTCAATGGTGTAGAGTGGGAAAACTGCACCGGTTGAGTTAGAAATCAACCAAGTGGACCAAATTGGAAAACCAGCGACTGTGTAATCTTCAATATTAGCAAATTCTTGGAGGAACATTCGAATATTGTCTTTAAAAGGTCCTGAAAAACCGTCAATGGAGTTTCCAGTTGCAAATGTTTCGAATACAAATGGCTTTCGGTTTCTCTTTCTACTCTTACAGGCTTCAATAATGGTGGAAGAAGCCATGGCAGAAACTACACTCAGTCGTTTTTTCTGGAGAAATTGTTGAGAATGTCAGTTTGGATTTTGGGAGTGTGTTCGGATTTTATGGTTATGTTCTTTTACGTTTTGGCGCTCTATATTGATGATGCCAGTTCTGAATTTACAATTTAGCCCTGGGAAAATGCACAGTGAGGGAAGTTTGAATTTGGGGTTTTGAAATTTTTAAAAAGGGTACTGTGGTAAATAAGGCTCAACAGGTTTTAAATATTTGATTTTGTTTTCAATTTTTTTTTTGGTTCACGTGGTTTGGAGCAATGCTTGTTTCATGTTCGCGAGATCTTTCCAACCCCCCCCCCCCCAAACAAGGGGATGGGTGGGAGCGGGCAGGGGTAAATTGTAACTATACTTAAGTTATTCAGACTTTTGAGTTGAAGAAAGAAAAAAGATTTTTTTGAAGTTGAGTCGATTAATGTTTGAATTGCAACTAATTTGTCCACATAGAGTGTGTTTGGCTAAATCACTTTTTGGCTTATTTACGCGTTTGATAAAGTTAAAAGTGCTTATAAGTTAAAAATAAGCCAAAAATTTAATTTTTAGCTTATAAGCACTTTAAGTTTGACCAAATTTTTTACTATTTTATACTTAAAATATTCCTTTTTCGAACAAAACTCCTACATCGATACTCATGACCTCAAATATTTTGTCTTATTTAGGTTTATTTTTTACTGAGAAATTTTTGTCAATTTATTATTATAACTTATGATTATATTCTTATCATAAAATATATTATATTTATCATAAAAATTATCTTATATAAGCACAATTATATTTAAAATAAAATGACAAATAGAATATTTCGTATTTGAATCGATTTGGAATCTAAAATTTTAAAGATTATGCCCTTATAAGTGTAAAGAGTTTTAAGGTTATTTAAATCATTTTAATAGAAAAAGAGCTTATCATCAATTTTTTTATTAAATACTGCAACAACTTATTATCAATTTCAGCACTTATACCTAAACACGTAACTGCTTATTTATTAAATAAGTTTTAGCACTTAAAAGTGCTTTTCAGCAACTAATGCTTATCAGCTATTTCAAATCAGCTAATCCAAACGGGCTCATAGTTTGATGATATAAAACAATTTTAAAAAAAGATTAATCATGCATGTGAAATTGTGAAACTTGAAAATTGCTCAGAGTTTATTAGATTCCCATCTTGAGGGCGTATTAACTCTTTGAATGCAATTGAAACAGCTACTGATTGCAATCTTGGACAGCTCTTTCCCAGAGGAAAAAGAAAAATGTATTACGCTTTCAGATTACAAAAGGACTGAGAAGTTGAGAATGCAATCAAAAAAGACAAATGAGACTAGGAAAAATTGGAAAAATAGAAGGATAAAAATAGAAAACTCCATGGACGCAGCTAAATAACAAGACACCCCGAATTCCATTCACGAAGTCCTCTTCCGTTGGATGTGTATATCTTTGCTGAACCTATTGGTGTACAGACTATACTTTTGACTTGCATCATTTACCATGCATTGCTGAACCTATGAGCCTATTCTGATTTGTGACACTATACATCACTTCACGAGACAATAACAAGGCAGGTTTCTTCAAACTAAAAACAAAGTGCAATACACCAAGCAAGTAGCATTTTGGACTAAAGAGTTATCAAAACTGTGGCCCCTGCATATGTAAAAGGTCACCCAATTCACCACTTCAAAAATTGATCAAAGTGCCACAAGTTCAGGTTCTTCAGTTCTCCACTGTGTGTGATGATAACGGGACAAGCTGCACCCTTTCAATCCAGTCAGCATAGATCCGGCTGATCTTCTGTACGTTCGTCCACTTGAATAAGAATCTACACTCGGATGCTGCATTTTTGGCTGGAGCACAAATGCCAGCGCTTCCCAACGACTCCAGTGTATTGGAAGAACCAAGAGTCTGCAGTTCTGTCAATATTGAGAAGCATCACAAATTAGAAATGGTATAAGGAAATAAAGATGAATACAATAGGTAAATAAAAAACAAAGAAAAAAAGCATATATAGAAAGAAAAAATGTTGCATGGCTCTACCATCTTATGTGAAGTGCTGAATTTCACACAATAGCATCTACAAGAATTCTGAGATATAGGTTTTTGACCAAGGCCTAAACGCAGCACATTGCATAATTAACTAACATAAAACTTGTATCACATAAACCATTCTAATCCTTTACACCTAAGAACAAAATTTAAAACTCCACCTCCTAATCACACAGAAATTTACAATATCAGCACCTTATAAATTCTGGCAGCAGAAGTCGCAATTCATTTTAGAAATATCCAAGAAAAAACTGCAGCAACATGTGTTAATAACTAAGCTCATGAAATTTCTGTAAGAGAAGCTTCACTAGCCATTAAATGCAATAATTGAATCTTCCCCTGCTATAAGGAATCAAGTATTAGCACCAAGTCAACAGCTGAGGCCAGATTCTCTAGACAACTTAGACTGGTGATCTTTTCAGATCAATAGATAGCAGGGTGAAGCCACATAGACATGCTGTCCATGACATTTATGAAAATAGATTCGTAATATAAGTCCATCTTTCTAGTTGAAATCCAATTGAAAGTATATCTACCAACATTTAGACAGGCAGGTATTTTGGTAATAGCATGTCCGTCACCAATATGTCTGGCACAAATACATGCCTAACAGAAACGAAAAGAGGAAAATGGTCTGGCAGAAATCATAGAATAGAACAGACAATTTCTTATATGCAACAAATAAACTGCATTGTTATGTGTTGTATTAACTAAGCTCAAGAAATTTCTAGAAGAGAGCTTCAATAGCAATGAATGCAATATTTGAATCTTCCCCTGCTATAAGGAAAGTATCAGAAGCAAATCATCAGCTGAGAGCAGAAAGTATAGACAGCTTAGTGTGATCTTTTACATAAATAGATAGCAGGGTGAAGTGATTACTTGCAAGACAAACATGAGTATTCATGACATGTTTGAACATAGACTCGTAATACATGTCCATCCGTATAGTTGGCGTTCAACTAAAAGTACATCTACTAACATATAAACAGACAGGTACTTTGCTATTAGAATGTTGGTCACCAAAATGTCTTGTACAAAAATAAATTAAACAGAAATTTAAGGAGAAAAAGGCGCCTGGTAGAGATAGGAGAATAGAAGTTGGAAAACAGGAAATTGTACATTAACCATGCCTCCTAAGCTTCTTATTTTCTGCATAGTTTGAACAAAGACTCTGGCAATTTGCTTTATGCAAATCCTTTTGACATTGCAAAAGGTTCGAGGAAAAAATCCAACACCTAATAGACATAATGAAACTTTCACATGTTCTTAATAATAAATCATTAACTGACTTAAAAATATTTTCAGAAACAGCTTACGGACAAAGACATGGAATATCAACTAATCAACATGAAATCAACTCAAGTAACTAATCAAAATAATGAACGACAAAACAGGGATGTAAACATTCAATAATGAACTAATAGTTGTGGAAAGACCTGCTTTCCCATGAGCAAATTGACACTTTGAACCATATGCGCAGCTACCAGTCCTTTCCCAGTTGACGCAAAACTTGGTCTTCAGTAAATTTTTACGTAACTCCACAGACCTCTTGGGTTCATTCCCACTAGTCGCAATGCTTATCGCAGAGCTAACCCTGCAGAAACCTACGCCTCCCTCAAGTTTTTGACTACGTTCATGAAGAAAATGGCATTTATTTCCATATGGACAATCTTTACCACTATCGAAAAAATGACATGATTTCGGCTTACTGAGATTTCTTTGATCCCCAACCCTAATGCCGTTCAGAGGCCCAGTAATATGAGCATAACGACACTCGCCACCATAACGGCAGCTACCCCACCTTTGGAATTGTAAGCATGGTGGTTGAGGACCAAGTGTCATACCCATATTTGTCCTGTTATCTTCCGGCCCCATTTTTGAATTCATCATTCTGGGTCTCTTAAAAGCTTGACATTCGGCATTAGAATTAAACCCACATTTTTTACCACTCGTGTTATACTGAGGCCATTGCTTAGAAGAATGCTCTTCATGCTTACAAGAAATTCCAAAATTATTAGCAGGCATACTCATCCTCAAAGTGACTTAGGGTTTTGAAAAAATCAGTAAAACTTGCTTGAATGCGTTTGTGGGAGTTTAAAATCAAGTGATCCAGATGGTCATTGTGCTAAACTTTACTTCTATCTAAAATTTTTGGAGAATGCTCAGATTATCTTTCAACATGGAAATCAAAAGAGCAAAAATGACTGTTAACATGAGCAAAATGGGGCGATCGGTACACATCAACGAGTGTAGTGGGAGTCCTTTTGGCAGAAAAGCAGAAAGCAAATCGGCGGAACAGGTGTTATGATATGCTCTTCCCTCTTTCTTAGATGACCAAAAACGACGTCGAAAGAGGCCTGGGTGCGAATAACAATGTGGCATACATACTCCGTATTCGCATCATTCTGCCATTAACCATTTGCTTTGGAATATTTATGGACATGGCCAGAGTATTTGTGTGGTTATAAATAATTTTCATTAAGGGTGGAATGATAAGTTTAAGCTAAATTGTTTTCAAATTTAGAAAGGAATTATTCTTTTTGGAACGGATAAAAAATGAAATATGTTTCACATAAACTGAAACGGAGGAAATAGTATTTAATATCACAACTATCATGCGAGTAACTTATGTTTAGTCTTATTTATACTATATTAAAAGCGTCATCCTGCTTTTGAATCCGCGTGACCACATTATCATCAAAATATTTCCTAATAGGTGAATTTGCAAATTACATCATCATTGTGTTGTTACTTTAATTGTTACTTCTTCCGGTTCATTTTAATTAATTTTTTATTTTTTTTGCGGTCCACGGTATTTAATTTTTTCAAATATCAAGAATGAATTAACTTGTTTTTTTTAAGTTATCTTTGAAATAAAGAGCATAAGAGTATATGTAATATCTTCAATGAACAAATTAAGTTTAATATAGTCAATTTCATTGTTAATTAATGTTAAAATATAGATTTCTTAATATGCGTGAAAACAGTCAAAAAAATCAATTAAAGTGTACCGAAAGGAGTATTATTTTGTCAAAACCCTCCATCACATAATCTAAATCTATTTTTGTTGCTATTAGTTTGTTCCCAACCAACTTGTGATTGAGTTGTACTAGTATAGTTAATGTTGTGGTGGTTGTGGGGAGGGGGGATCGGAGGAGAAAATATAGCAAGGGTGCAAAACGAGAACAAATAACGTTGGTGCAGAATCCGGGTACATCTTTAAACAAATAATTTAACAAGATTAAAGCAAATACGCAGGTCAATCAACATCTTTCAACTTCAATGTATTCTCTCGGAAAAAAGAACTCGGGCCATCTATTGAAGCTTATTTTATACCAGGGAAAGAATAGAAGATTGAGAGTAGAGGGACAGCTCCTCCAGTCTGCAATCTCCCCTAAAAAAACAGAAGCAAACAAAACAGGGAAGAAAAATTATGAATCCCGATAATCAAAGGTATGATAAGAATTCTTGAATAACGGGTTTAAATGCCGGTACTGGGATTGATTGAGTTGGTAGGAAAGTTCAAGCTGCCAGGGTAATTTGTATCGCCTGGAACACTGGTGTTGGTGTTTGCATCATTGTAGTTGATAGAGCCTGGATGATTGAAATAGTTGCCACCAGTAGCAGTGTCAGTGGTGTTGTGGGAATCAGGATTTATTCCTAGAGTGTTCTTGACTGCACCAGCTGCACCTGTTGCAAGGTTTGCTGCACCAGTTGCAGCTCCTCGAGCCATGTTCACTGCACTTCCTGCTGCTCCTTGAGCCATATCTGCTGCTCCGTGTGCTATGTTCTTCACTTTTGTCCCCGTCTTAAACATTAATAACATCTCAACTTAATCATTCTTTAAACTTCTATATAGTCACTTAATTGATCATTACGCATCAAGATACTAAATTTAGAAATGTTACCTCTTGAAGCAAGTTGGTTGTTTGGCCTTGGTTATGGATGTCAGATGGTTGATTCACCATGTCTTCCCTTCTCATCTACAATTGGTTTAAAAAAAGAATGTTAGTAGTATTAGTATTAGTATAAAGAAAAAGCAGAGCTTCAGATGGGTAAAGGAAGGTTAAGAATTTAAAGGAAAACCTGAGCTTGGCCGGGGATTTGGATGCTATGAAGATTGTCACGTCCTTGGCTTGCCATGGTTAATTGGTTTTGGTACTTAATTTGTTTGTGTTTAGAAGTGTCACACTAGTAATTGTAGATCAAAATGCAAAAACGGAATGCATTTTGAAATAGTTGGATTGGTGAATTTATAAGCTTCAAAATGCAAAATTGGTTACCTCAATGAATGCATATTCTAACAGATGGCACAATGCTAGAAATCTTGATCTCTCCTAGCGTAGCGTATACAAGAATATGTCAAACGAATTATTCATCCGTTTATTTTGGGGAGTATTATAATGAGAAATATAGTTACGGACCAAATGCTTCGGCGAATTGTCTTATAAATAAAGACTAATAAGCCAATAATTTCTTTTAGCTAGCTTCTTTGACCTTTCTCTTTGTGGTTTATGTTTTCTTGGTAATTCTTATTTACAACAGTCTGTGCAGAGTAGTCACAGGGAAACACAAACATGTTGACTCACAGTGAAATAATTTCAAATTCATTTTCGTTTACAACAATATTCAGATAGGCCATTGGTCCATTGTTACATTGACTGTACATCAAAATTCTCTTTTTATTTCAGTTGAATGAAAAAGAGTGTCTTTTTTGTCCTTTTAAACGAAATAAAAGTTAACGTCATTAGACTTATTCCAAAAAAAATTCATCTCGTGAAATGTAAGAAAGAAAGAAACATGACAGGGAGATAGGAGCCGTTTGGCCATAAAAAAAAATTTCCTTTTTCTTGGATTTTTTCTTCAAAAATATATTTGTCCATGAAAATTTGTAAGTTTTTGGAGATTTTTCAAAAACCAAAATCTTATGTTGTGGATTTTTTTTTCCCACTCACAATATTACAATATTTTATCAAATGTAATACATATCCAAACATAATTTTAAATTTTAAATTTTAAATATCATTTTTCAACTTGACATCAAATACTAATTTTTGTCAAAAATCACAATTTTTATGTTGAAACGCCTACAAAAATGCCCCGTTGTTTTTATTTTGTCGGTAATTTTGCACTGTTAAAGTAGGAGCCAACTCACCCAAAAAAGGGCAATATAAACGACCAATAAAAAGCAGATCTCAATCCTCAACTAGATAAAATCAAATTGGGCACGTCCATGAATCCGTCACGGCAACATTAAAATATGAAAACGGTAGGCGGTTCTGATATCAAATAAATTGATGTCAAAACTTTTTTTCTAACTCAGTTACTAATTGCCATAAATTAATGTCAAAACCTTTTTTTAAACTCAGTTACTAATTTTGCCAAATAAATTAATGTCAAAACCTAACCACAGACATTGTTATCGACTTCATCATTAAAGTCCAAATTACATGAAAACAACGAAGAGAAAATTCCTGCAATGACTTTAAGTGGAATTTCAAGCTCTACTTCTACTCTCCGAAATCATTCAGCCAATTATTGTCAATTAGAGTGCTTCAATTCATATTCTTGAGAGACTTCTTTCAAAGCTATCTAATTAATGTCTGAAAATGTGAATATAGAAATCTATAGAAGAATTTCCATCATAATCCTACTTTCAAAGTTATCGTTGCTTTCTATAGATCTTTTCTTTTTATTTTTGACAAGCAGCTTTCAACCCGTAACCGGCCAGGTTCGAAACCCGGACTGTTTCAACTTTTCCCTAACCAGTTTTGTCCTGTCCACCCGTTAGATATCCTTAATTATTTTATACTATTAAAAACGTGCGTACGTCAATAAAAGACAATCAATTATAGTAGTAAATAAATTTAACAACTTCAAAAATATAGGAATAGTAAATAATTTAAACTATCAACTCCGACTTTTTAAGCAATTACCAAATGTAAAAGGTCAACCTTCTAACAATAGCATGGAATAGCAGGCAGGAAGTTATCTCTAATCATTTTCGTCGTCGGTATTGATCCTTATGGAATGAACCGAAGCTAACTAAACTGTGACACGTGCCTCTACACGCGTCAGTTAACAGGATACGTGTCAACAATCTAACAAACTACGTAGTCTTTATAAACCATGCATAACCATTGCTCCAATCTCACTTCAAGCAATATCCATTTAATCTTTCTATTTCTTTCTACTTTCTACTTTATTGCACTTACATCCATATTTGCGTCCATATATATATCAATTTACGTTTATAACTTCAACAATGGCCTCCCACGAACAGAGCTATAGAGCTGGTGAAACCAAGGGCCGAACTCAGGTATCTCTCCCTTTAGTTTCTATATATATATATATATATACCGCTACTTTCCCAGAGCAGTAAGCTCTATATGTCTGATTAAAAAGAGCTTAAACAACCATTTGATAGCCATGTAATTCTATCTAGGTATAGTTACAGATTTCGGACGAATTATGAAGTTTTCTGTGGTTTTTAACTTTTTGTTTTGAGTGCAGGAGAAGGTTGGTCAAACAATGGAAAGCATGAAAGACAAGGCGCAAGCAGCAAAGGACAAGACTTCTGAGACGGCGCATTCAGCCAAAGGAACTGCTCATGATAAGGCAGGCACCGCCAAATATAAGGCTGCAGATGCAGCTCAGGTTACTGACGAGAAGGCTCACGGAGCAGCTCAGGCAACCAAGGAGAAGGCCAGCGGAGCAGCTCAGGCAACCAAAGAGAAGGCCAGTGGAGCAGCTCAGGCTACAAAAGAGAAGGCTTCAGAAATGATGGAGTCTGCAAAAGAAACTGCACAAGCTGGGCAAGAGAAAACTGGGGGAATCCTGCAAAAGACTGGAGAACAAGTGAAGAGCATGGCTCAGGGTGCTGCTGATGCTGTGAAGCATACCTTTGGTATGGCCGATACTGATGAAGATCATCCAACTGCCACCAAAACCAGAGAACTTTAGACTTGGATCTCTTTCTTTCTTGAGAGATTTATGTACTCTTTGTGTTTAGTTTGTTTTTTTGCTTTGAAGTTTGCCTCCCTTTGAGGTGATAAAGGTTTATGTAATAATAAAAAGGTTTTAGCTTTTGTAGTCTGAAAGTGTGACCTCGACATCAAGCTGCTAAAAATGTAATCCATGTGATGTTGTCTACATAATCGATCCCGTGCGATTTCGTGTTAAGAAAACGTGTCTCGATATCCCTTCAATTTGCGTTTCTTAATTTATAATTTTCCGAAAGTGTTTAGATTTTTCTTTTCTTGTAGTAAATGAGGACGTCGAATTCACCTTAGTAAGTTACCTCAAAG